AGTACACAAAAGAAGGCGGGGGAGGAGCGCCTTTCGAATATGATGAAGGTGATGGTGATTGTTTTGGTGGTGAGGGAGGGGGCGGCGGCGGTGAGGGCGGAGGAGAGCTGTAGTCAAATTGCGGTGGCGAGGGCGGAGGAGAGCTGTAGTAAGTTTGAGAAGGCGAGCGGTGCACTGGTGGCGGTGATGGTGGTGGTGAAGAAGACTCAAGTTGAGGAGGAGGAGGAGGAGGTGAACATATGACTGGACATGTTGTGCACTCACTGATACATAGTAAACCAGTCTCAGCCTCTCCCACTTGATCCTCATATGTCAACCCAGCAAACATGACCAAACCAATGAGCCCTGCCTTCAAGAACCAAGGAAACCATTTTCCTTCCATGAATGCCAAAGCTTTGAAACTACCCATCTGAGAGAGGCGTAACCTTGAAAAATGAAATCCAAGTTATGGTGTGGCCTAGAGAAAACTTGTCATACTTATTGCCCTGTAATTGCATAAGGTAGTGAGGCCTTGATGGGTCCCTTTATACAAACGTGTGTATGGCTCCTTAAAAAGTTTGATTCAGATGCTTCTCTTATGATGGTAGGGTTAGTGCATTGCTGTAAAGGTGCACACTTTACTTCCACCTTTTTGTTTTTGAACTCACGACGGTTAAATTATTTTATACCAATTACTCTGGTCTGTTTGAGCAAAGACGTGCAACGAGTTTCCTCTTTGGGTGACGATTGACAAATCACAGATGTAGATGGAGATATCACATAATTTGGATAAGCAGGAACCAAACAAACAGAAGGGATTAAACGCGTTAATGACACGTTAACTGCAAAGTAATAGTTAATTACTTTCAACATCTTTGGAGTTTGGAGTTTGGAGAATGTATTTTGTTATTCTTTCAATTGATTGCTTTCTAATCCTCTAGAGACCTCTAGGGATCTCTTTTTATTATGCCTTTCTGCAAACATAATCAACCTTTGTGTGGATCAATTCCCACCTTACAGTGTTGCACTTTATGCTGCTTCTTTAGTTATACTTTTCTTGGCAAGGTGGGCTTCTTATTTGATTACTATGACCGTTTTACTAACTGCTCCCTCTTCAGATCTTTTAGGCCTACAGTGTTCGGCTACGCATAAATTCTTGCAAGTTCCTTTTGTGTCATCACCCAATCTTCTCACCCTTCAACTGCAGAGGGGAGGGTCATCTTATAATCAGGAAAGGAAAATTTGTGAACAGGCACAACATGAACAAAGTACACAGAGGCAACGGCTTTTTCTAATACAACCACCAGAGAGTAACTTAAACCCATCAGTGGAAGAAGCCTAAGAATATATATATTTTTTTTCTTACATCAATGTCCTATTATCTACAAACAGTTCTTCAGTTTCTTCACTTGAAAGTAACTTTGCGGATTTCTTCCATGTGAACTTCATGTGTCTCCATCTTCTTTGTATATCAAGTCTGCGCTTCAACTCTGTCCTCGGCAGTACTCTTATTCATTGATTCCTAGTTATTCAACAATGGAGGAGAAGATCAGATTAATTACATGACCACATGCAAATAGATAAAATATTAAAATTAGTAAATTCAGTGATTGGCATGACTATGTCAAAAACCTGACTACTTGTAGTTGATGATCTTAATGTGGAAGGGCGTAACCCAGAGCTATGACTATGAGCAGTGGTGAAATGTCCAGGATGAGATCCTTCACCATGCCTTCCAAAGTCTCTTAATCGGTTAAGCTCGGGCACTACAACTGTGCCAAGATCCGGCCTGTCCTTCTTTCTTAGCTCTGCGCATTGTAATGCCAACTTAGCAAATGCTAGAGCCAGTTCGATAGGCCAGTCTGGCAATGCGGGATCAAGCATCTCAGAAAAGGTTCCTTTCTCAATGGACCTCCTGACATGGTGAGAAAGTCCCATGGCTGGCTTGGCTGTGATGATTTGGAGTAGCACTATGCCCAACGAGTATATATCCGACTTTGTTGTTAGCATGCCTGATTGTTGATACTCGGGATCTATGTAACAAAATGTCCCTGCAGCTGCAGTCATGTGATATTGTGTCACTTCATCAGCCATAGATGGAGGAACTAAGCGCGCCAGCCCGACATCACTGATTTTGCTCACATAGTTACGATCTATGAGGATGTTGGCTGGCTTAAGGTCCCGGTGGACAAGGGGCTCTGGCTTTGCTTGGTGAAGGAATAGAAGGGTTGTTGAAATCTCAGCAGCTATTTTGAATCTCCTCCTCCATGAAATTGGAGGGGTGTTGCCTCTTCTAAACAACAGGTCCTCCAAGCTTCCGTTGTCCATGTATTCATATACTAGGCATCCGAATTCAGGGCACGCACCAAGCAAGAGGACCATGTTAGGATATCTAATGCAGCTCAGGACCTCAACCTGCATGTGAACACAAAATAAGTTCAGACTAAATGGAAAGCAATATGACATTGAACAAATATTTGGGCCAATAATTTGGCAAGCAGTGCATATCTGTACTTGTTTATGTAATATAAACTCGGGAAGTTGTATCCAACATCATACCTCCTGTTGGAACTGCTTCCTCCCTTGAGCAGCATCAGGTCTTAACACCTTAATCGCAACTGGTGTGTGGTCGAGTTTACCTTTGTACACAGGTCCATATCCACCTTCACCAATTTTGTTTGATGCTGAGAACTCTTGAGTGGCTTGTTCAATCTCTTCTATGGTGTACTTTCTATATCGGACATCATTATGCGCCAAAGCATTCAATGCCCGGTTCTTCTCTTGTGCCTCTTTCTTCGCCTTCATCTCTGCCTGTCTTCTTCTCTGAGCTTCCATCTCAGCCACCCTCTGTGATGCCTCAGCTGCTTCAATGGCAGCTTTGCACTTTGCCTTTTCCATCTCTGCAATGGCAAGAGCTGCCTCTTCAGCATGCCTGGCATCCTCGAATTTACGAGCCTCCTCCTGCTTCCACTGATTAAGCTCTTTAGCCTGGATTTCAAAGAGTCAGCTTTAGTACCCTCTTGATCATACTCCAAGAACCATGTTGATTCAGTAGACAGCAGAAACAAAGGTGTCACTGAAAATTTCATGGCATAAACATTACCTTATTTTTTGCTGAGATTGCTTCTTTGCAGGCAGAGCTGTACATGTCCATGGTTTGTTTTAATTCCAGCTTCAGTCTTTTCATTTCGGCTTCAATATCCCGCTGCAACGATTGAGAGCAGATGACAATCAGATCATTCTTTTATATGCAAAACCATCAACTTTTCTTACTGAGTAGCATGCATTATACTTGTATACACAACTTACTGCAGATTGTCTGGATGACTCCTTGGGAGAACATGATGCACTGGAGAAATCTAACCCTTGGCTTATGATGTCCACTGATCCAAATGAATTAAACATCCCTGGAAATTCATTCTCATCCGCATTCGAATTCCGGCTGCTAAGCGAACACCTTGACGAACCATGATTAGGAATGTCAATGTCCATTGAGAGATTGACTGGAGCACTCCTCGTCCTCTCTCGCGCCACAGGAATTTTCTCTGATCCTCCTGCACTGTTCCATCCTCCCCTTACTGCAGGCTGTCCTCTGCTTCTACCAAGCAACATCATACAAAGCACAAAGAGTTATGTGTGTTTCTAATTAAAAAAGGACTTAATATATACAAGACAAATAAACAGCTCTATTAATTTTTTGTACCTAGCTCCATTGTCTGCTTCAGTTTGTTCTGTTGGAATACAAGGTGGAAGTCCCTGTGGGGATGGTTGTTTTGGTGGAGTAGCAGTATTGACCACCGGCCTCTTAGCCGTTCGCCCGACGACCATCTTCCCTTTCGAAATTACATATACAGAGCAAAACTCTGGTGCAAGCTTTACTAAGCTGGTGGGCACATCATACCCAATTTTGAACTTTCTATGAGAAACACAGCATCACAATGTAGCCCATTACTTCATGATCATTAGATATATACATATATTTGATTAAGAGAGAACGAGAGAGAGAATGGGAAATTAAACCTTGTAAGAGCATTCCTTGTTGATGCACCAACTGCAATATTATTGATGTAGTGATTGTTGATGTACTCCAAAAGTGCTTTAGCAACATCATGATCATCAAGGATAACCTCTTTCACTTGGGCCTAAAAATTAAAATCAAAATCAAATGTGGTGTCACGTTATGACATTGGACCATTTATGCTATATTATGTGAGACTACATATCTAATGAAAATGACGGACGGATGAATCCGCACACCTCTTTACGTGCGCAGTATGCACGGTAAGGAACGAAAACATGATGTCCATCATGATTGCCCGATTCACCATCACTCTCTGCATAAAACTCCAAAAAGAAACAGAGAAATCACGTTGACAAAGGCCAACAATATTCCAAAAATTAAAGATTGAGAAACAGAGGGTAGGGTACCTACGATGTGGATGATGGTTTTTGTGCCTAACGTGGATGAGGATGATATATGGGTTGGTATTGTTAGCTACAAGATGATCAATAGCAAATCGGACGGCGTGGTTGCTGTTCTTGTTGTCTTTGTCAACAGCCACCGCCGTGGCATTGATTGGCGGAACGGTGTCGTCAGAGTTTAAATGGGAGGCCATTTGCGTTACACACCTAGCGCAGCACTAGTACTTCCACTGCCGCTGCAAATGGCACCACCTCCGACGACCAACCCGCCACTAGAACGAAGCTTGAGACACAAGAAAGGAGAGAGAAAAAGAGGAAAGAAAGCCTCAGGGCAATTAGCTGAGGATCCTTTCTGTTGCTTTGGCGGTGGAACTGGAACGCCGGCTAAACATAGAAAACGGACATAACTAACTAACTCTTATTGTGTTGACTCTCCTCCATTGGCTTGATTTAGGCATTTTGACCTGGCCATGACCAAATCAAAGAAAACAACTATTTGGCTGACAAGTATTCAGTACAAATAATACTAAACACACCAACTTATTATATAAATTTAAAAAAATTGATCCAAAATGAAAAACAAATAAAAGGTGCAATGCAACTCTTTTTGGTGCGAATTGAATTTGCCGCTACCAGCGATCATGGCCCATGGTGGCCCAAATACCAAACAAGACAAAACGACGTCGGCTCGAACCGGTGCGGTCGAAATCCGCAAACCCTTTCTTCCCCAATTACTGAACCAACCGGAAATCAGATCGCAATCGATTTCCCAATTCCCAGTGGGGCTCAGTTCTCTGGAAACGCCGTGGTGCGTGAGCAATGTCGTCGATATACGTATTAGAGCCACCGACGAAGGGCAAGGTGGTGCTGCAAACAACCCATGGGCCGCTCGACGTGGAGCTCTGGCCCAAAGAGGCCCCAAAGGCCGTCAGGAACTTCATTCAGCTCTGCCTTGAAGGCTACTACGACAACACCATATTCCACCGCATTATCAAAGGCTTTCTTGTTCAGGGCGGCGACCCCACCGGCACAGGCACAGGTAATCGCAGAAAATGTTGAGAATTTCGGTTGTTGAATATGTATAGTAATATGGGTTACTTCAGATTTAGGATTTTGAGCTTGAATTGTTGGTGGGTTTTTGTAGGTGGTGAAAGTATTTATGGTGGTGTTTTTGCTGATGAGTTTCATTCGCGTTTGAGATTCAAGCATCGGGGTTTAGTTGCTTGTGCAAATTCTGGTTCACCCAATTCTAATGGGAGCCAGTTTTTTATGAACTTGGACCGCTCTGATTGGCTTGACAAGAAGCATACTATATTTGGGAAGGTAATGATAACTTAATCGCTAGCTGAAGCAGTACAGCAATTATGAGTATCAGTAGAAAACCAAGGAACCAAACTCATTTCTTTTTTCTGTTTTTCAGGTGACTGGGGATTCAATATATAATCTTGTGAGGTTGGGTGATATTGAAACTGACAAGGAGGATCGACCCTTGGACCCACCACCAAGGATACTATCAGTAGAGGTAGCTAAACATGATCCTTAAGTAAGCCTTAAGCTTTCCTCTTTCTATATGCTTATGTGATTTGAAATTTTGTTTTGGTGTTAAATTCCCTGTTTTAGGTGTTATGGAACCCCTTTGATGATATTGTTCCAAGAGTACGTGCAAAGCCATCGACGGAATCCACCAATGACGCTGACAACAAAGACACAAAGAAGAAAGCTGTAAAGTAAGCTTTTTCCTTTCCTGATGGAAGAACTCATGCATGTCTGTTTATGTTTACCTGTGTCTGTGAAAATAAATGCAGTGATGCCACAATATATGTTGTCAAAAATGTCATTATACTTATGGGGTATGTTGTGTGCACGCTTTGTTTCCACAATGCAGAAAGCTGAACTTGCTTTCGTTTGGAGAAGAAGCTGAAGAAGAGGAGAAAGAATTGGCAGCTGTAAAGACAAAAATCAAGAGCAGTCATGATGTATTGGATGATCCTCGTCTTCTGAAGGACGAAGTTCCAATTAACGACGTGGTAATTATCCTGTATCTCTTGTTATGCATTGTTTACATAGAATGTTTGAAATGTTGCTATTTTTAAGGTCTAAGGGTTTCTGATCTTGCGAATGTGATTATTGCCTAATATGAAGTGGATAACTCTTTGTCTTTATGAAATCACATCTGGACTTATCCCCCATCACTCTTACTATTATTCTGGATTTATCCTCCATCAATCTTACTACTGAGATTAATATTGTCGTGACAACCAACTTGGCTAACATTTTTCATCGTTTACATATGCATATTCTGTCTGTCATATAATAGGATCATCCAAAGAACTTACCTCCGGCAAATGTTTTGAATGCAGAACTCTGATGCCAAAACAAGGCATGTACAGTTATCTGTCAGGGAAGCTCTAAGCTCAAAGAAAGACGAGCCCGGGAAAGACTCAGAATCCAAATTTTATAATACCCTCAATTATAGCGATGATGACGATGATGAGGCAAACTTTGATGCACGAATGCGTCAGCAAATACTCAGGAAACGAAAGGATTTGGGAGATCTCCCACCAAAGCCAAAGATGCATAATGGTACCTAATTGTCCTCAATGTATTAAACTTTCTCCTTGTGAGGAATAATGAATGCAGAATCCCTTTTAATTGACACATTCTTTTTATTTCCTTAATAATTTACGCCCATTTTCTTAACCTATCACATGCATATGCAGGGAGCTCTAGCCCAAATCAGCGTGAAACACCTGCATCAAGGTAAAGATGTTGGAAATTTTCTTGACATTATATTTGTTTGCAAGGATTCCTTCAAAGAGTTCATGGCTTTATCAGTTTCAATTCAATGTTATAATTAACGAAAATGTACTTCGAGGCAAAGTTTTGGGTGTTGGGGATGTTTTGGCAGATTTTTGTTTTAAGCACTGTTACGAAGACTGACACATCTGAAAATATATTCAAAAGAATCTCTTCGTTTCCTTCTTGCCAGGTCCATTGTTGAAAGCATTAATGATGATCAACAAAAGGTGGAAAAACTATCCTTGAAGAAAAAAGGGATAGGATCAGAGGCAAGAGCTGAACGCATGGCAAATGCTGATGCGGACTTACAGTTGCTGGGTGAAGCTGAAAGAGGAAGACAATTACAGAAACAGAAGAAGCGTAGAAATCAAGGACGAGAAGATGAAGTATGTTATGTGTGATTGGCCCTTTTATGTATTGTTTTCTTGATTTACATATTTACTTTCGTGTCCTCCCTTCAACCATTGGAGTAGGTGAAACTGACCACTTTTAAAATCTATTTAAACATGATAATGTAGTAGATGCAAGTAATGGATTCCATCAGCTGGCTTAATGAATCAGAACCCATGAATAGTGCATTGAAAAGTCCCTGCTTTTGGGAATTTGGGACTGCACTCACTGCTTGTGTGGATATCATCTATAATTCATTTGTATAACTATTTACCATGAGCTAACTTTATTGTGTATATATATAACCCTGTTTTTATGGATTGGATGCTGTTAGGTTCTGGCAAAACTTGAGAAGTTTAAGAAGGGTATATTTGAAAGTCGCACAGCCTCAGGTAGTGAATCTGGAGGTGGCAAAGATGAAGATGCATCTGATTGGAAAGCTGTTCGGTTAAAATTTGCTCCTGAGAGTGGGAAGGTAAGCTTCTCCAGTTCATATTTGTTTATGCCATTTCATTTCAATCGGAAACAATGCAAATCAGGAAAGGAATTAATGAGAATGCAAATGGAATTAGATTATTTCATCCGCATATGCAAATGGAATGATGGAATGACATAATTTAATTAATGAAAAGAGAGTCCTCTTCACATTTTAAATATTCTTTGAACAAATATCAATTTGCTCGTCATCTAGATTTCTGCTTTTCTATGGCTTAAAAGTCTTTTTCTGTAAATCACTGTGCAGGATCGCATGTCTCGCAATGAGGACCCAAATGACTACGTTGTGCATGACCCTCTTTTGGAGAAGGGGAAAGAGAAGTTCAACCGGATGCAAGCCAAGCAAAAGCAACGGGAGCGAGAATGGGCTGGCAAATCCCTTACTTGATCTCATCTCTGCCATGCACCAACTTTATGGGTTTGTGAATATTTGAAACTGAATCGAAGCTATGAGAATTACATGCCATACCGTTGCCACATTTTCAAAAAACTAACCTTCGACTTTTTTGCTCCAGATTAGGTTAGACAGCTCTAATGTGTTGTATTTGTGTTTACTTAAAACAAGTCTTAATGAGGCTGTTGTAGGAAAATCAAATTTCTCATTTAATGGATTAAGATTTCTTGTTAAACTGCAGTGCAGGCTTTACCATTTCAAATGTTCTAGACCTAACATTTCTAGACTTTGCTTATTCAAATGTCTTTGTAAATTGTATTGGGGTTTAGCCGACCCCACTAAAACATCTGACCCAGGATTTCATCTTGGACCGGGATTATTTAAATCAATCCGTGTCCGGCTTGAGCAGCAAAAATCTAATAATATCATCAGTAATTTGGACCCGTTCAAGTCAAGGCCATGGCCTTTGGTTGACCAGGTCAACATTTTTATTTTTAATTTTTATTCAATACGTATGTCAACATTTTTTTAATTTTATGAAACGGTGGGGAAAGAACCCCAGAACCCAAACCAACAGCTACACAACTGGAACCAAACGAGGGTGACCGACTCCTGCAGAGTCATCAATCAAAATGGAACAGTATGTCAACAGTTTTAGACTTGCGAAAAACGTTGGTTTTTTCTTCGAAACTTGTCGTCTCTTTTCATCTGTAGCCAAACACTTGGAAAGACAGGTCTTGTTTCTTTGGATGTATAAATAAATAAAACTGCTGAGCCAATATTAGCAAACGTAATTACCAATCTAATGTCGGATTACTATAATAAACGAGAATCTTTGGAAGAGTACAACATTAAAACATGCCCTCTGTTCCTCATCTGGTCGATAAATTCGCAGTGTTATTCCCTTTTTAACCTCAGTTGGACCGCCTCTTGGTTACAATGTTTTTGTTGATAATTATTTCTTACTTTTTCTTTTTTCTCCGGAAATTGGGACAATGAAAATAGCTTTTCAACAACTGTCCTATTGCGTATGGTCAAAAGTAGTGTATATTTTTGAATTTTGGTACCTCGTGGGGGCCCACCGTATTGTAGCCAACTGTACATTGTAGTGTTCCAAAATTAAAAATAATATTAAATACATGTGGAAAAGGTTTCCAATGAAGCTGTTGGCAAATCAAAACGAGTAAGAGGAGTTGAAAGTTTACACCGCTTTTCTTATCTTGTTGGACAAGCATGGACTCCATACCAATCTTCCATCTGCAATCTTCATATTATATATGATAAATATATGACTTCCTTTTGGTTTAGAAATTACTCGTAACTAATAATACCCAAGTGATACACGACATTTTGAGATTAATATGAATGATATTTATTTTGTTAAATAAAATATTCATATGTGAGGAGTAAAATATTCATATGTGAGGAGTCTGTAACTTAAGTAATTAAGAGCAGTTATTCATAAACTCGAATTTATGTGTTCGAACTCAAACGACATTTCGAGTTCGCATGATCGAACAGAGTTCGGGCTTTTCTTGCAACAGTTAAAAACAAAACAAAACAAAACCCTGTAAATGTCATAATGTCAGCATGATGTGGATTATTTGTGGGTTCCACAATATCATACTGGCCCGCAGATCTATGGTTCCATTTATCAGGCCCAACACAAATACTTTTCCAACAACTATTAGAATTGTTCCGCCCAATAAAAAAAAATGCATACTGGAATTGTCAAAAAGGTTTGAAGTTTGGCGGTGTTATTCTCACAAAAGTAACATTCCCAATCAAAATAAAACCAAGAAAAACGAAAAAAGAAAGCATTTCCTAAGTTCCAGGTAATCGCCAGTCACCGTCTTACACCCACCAACCACCGCCACTCCGAACCCGCGTTCACACATGACACCTTTTAAACGCTCTTATTTTATCCGCATGTTCACACGCAAAACGGGCCCCAAGTCAACGTTTTGTACAAATTGCCATCTTATTCTAGTCCTCTCATCGCATTTAATTTCCAACCCAATTCCTGATCAATTTACAAGTGTCTCGACGATGTCGAGTTGGTTTGGAGTGTTTTTTGAAATGACTAAAAGCGAGTTCTGGTAATTAAAAGCGAGTTCTGATAAAAAAGCGTTTATAATGACATTTAGCGTAATAATTTATAAGTGCTTTTGAATCACGAAACGCTTTATAAACAGAAGTGCTTTCTTTAAAAGTATTTACAAACTAAACTTTAATTAAAAACGACTTAATTTCCTTAATCATTGCATATGATAGATAATCTCCTCTCTTATTCTAATGTGGACAGCCAGTGACATATGCGCATAATATAATAAAGGTCCCATTTTCTCAATCCCAATCCAAATTTTCTATCTTTGCGTTCACACTGGTGTTTCCATTTCACACATACAATTAAGGTTATTGTATACTGTTCAAAGCCAAGGGCCTTTTCTCTCTCTCTCTCTTTTTCTATTTTTGCTTCTCCTCCTCCCTTTCATTTCCTTGTTATTGTTGTTGTTGCGGTAAAGACCAGACGTCTCAGCTCAGCTGCTATATGAAACTGGAGCTCCCAAATAGCCCATACCCAGAAGACTTACCTCTGCACCCTGCTCCGAACCTATCTGCACACCCAAATGAACGACAATGGCAATTCCAAGAAACGGCGTCGTAAGGGCAACAATAATAACAACGGCAACGACCAGGACAACGGTGACAAGAAGAAGAAAGACTTGAAGGGCATCATCGCTTCCCTGTCGTTGCTGGAGGAGCAAGAGAAGGAAGACGAACAAGAGCACGACAGGGCCTCAAATGACGACGCGTCGTTTATCGAAGAGAAGCACAAGACGAGAACCAAAGCCATGTTAGATTACTACTCCGATTTCCAGGACTGCTATTCGGAGGTCGAAGAATCCGAAACGATGAAGCGAAAGCGGTCGAGAAGCGCGGCTTGCGCTGCGGCTGCGGCAGCGGCGGGGGGGGGCGCCGCGGCGGAGCCGGCCACAACGGGGGATGGGCCGCACAGGAGGCTGTGGGTCAAGGACCGGTCCAAGGCCTGGTGGGACGAGTGCAACCAACCCGATTTTCCGGAATCGGAATTCAAGAAGGCGTTTCGGATGGGTAGGGCCACGTTCGATTTGATATGCCAGGAGCTCAAATCCGCCATTGAAAAAGAAGACACAACTCTGAGAAACGCAATTCCGGTGAGGCAGAGAGTTGCTGTTTGCTTGTGGAGACTAGCAACAGGTGACCCTCTTCGCCTTGTATCTAAAAAATTTGGTCTTGGCATCTCAACTTGCCATAAACTTGTTCTTGAGGTCTGCTCTGCAATTAGAACTGTGCTCATGCCCAAGTATCTGCAATGGCCTGAGGACAGTGTAGTGAGGAAGATCAAAGATGAGTTTGAGGCCATTTCAGGCATACCCAATGTTGTGGGGTCCATGTACACAACCCATATTCCAATTATAGCTCCAAAGATCAGTGTAGCTGCTTATTTCAACAAGAGGCACACAGAGAGGAACCAGAAGACCTCTTACTCAATCACAGTGCAAGGTGTTGTGGACCCAAGAGGGGTTTTCACTGATGTGTGCATTGGTTGGCCTGGATCAATGCCTGATGATCAGGTTCTGGAGAAGTCTGCTTTGCATCAGAGGGCCAACAATGGCTTGCTGAAAGGTGTTTGGATTGTTGGGAGCTCTGGGTACCCTTTGATGGACTGGGTTTTGGTGCCCTACACCCAGCAGCATCTTACTTGGACACAGCATGCTTTCAATGAGAAGATTGGGGAGATTCAGAATGCTGCTAAAGATGCATTTGCAAGGCTGAAAGGGAGGTGGTATTGCTTGCAGAAGCGAACCGAGGTGAAGCTGCAGGACTTGCCAGTAGTGCTCGGGGCATGCTGTGTTTTGCACAACATATGCGAGCTTAGAAATGAGGAAATTGAACCAGAGCTGAGGTTTGAGCTTGTGGATGATGAGATGGTGCCAGAGGTTGCTTTGAGATCACAGAGCTCAATGAAGGCTAGGGATGCCATTGCTCATAATCTATTGCACCATGGCCTTGCAGGCACTGGCTTTCTTTAGTTAATAGATGCATAGATACTATAGAGTTTGCTCTCTGTGCCCTGCTGTGCTCTCTCGGATCAGATTGATCAACTAACTTGTTATAGTTTTATTTGTCCTGTTTTGTTGTAGAAGTCGTCGTCATCATTTCCTCCTTATTTTGTGATTCGTTTGTAGAAGGGGGGCTCTCTGTAAAAGGCATACTTGCCCCTTCCCACAAATGGATGATTGTAATTTGTACTAAGTTTTATACATTAATATCACAGAAACACTTTGTTGTAACTTCAGATTCCATATGAAATTGAATGCCAAAATATATAAATTCTTTTTGTTGCATGCTTTTGCTTCCTAATATATTATACTTATCTCATGGCATTTTCCTTTTTCTTCTGTGCCAACCACAACAACTCGGTTTATTATTTTATGTTAAACCAAAGAGGCCAAAGAAGGAGAAGGCCAAAGAATGTGAACACACTCTCTCTCACTCCTCACTAACCTTTGGGGCTTTGTTTCCCTAATCAATTTGTAATAGTCTACTTAGTTTCACCATTCTCTGCAAATGCCTTTTGCTTTATATATATAGATTATATCAAGTCAAGATCATTAATTAAGTCCAACTAGCAGTTCCCCAAAGTAGGAGGCATTTTCCATGCTAAACACTTCAATTTGGAGATGGACATTATTTTAGGTTTTTATAACAAATTATTATTATAAAGGCTTTACTGATGTCAACCTCATAGTGCAAAATAATTTGTATTATTGCTAGTTTTTATACATAAACATTTTTTAGTCGATCTGCAGAACTGTTTTTTCATGAAGAGTTACACGATATTCATTGATAGTCTTGCTCTCTTCCAGTCCAGAATCACGTACCATAGGTTTAGATCTTACATTATAGCTTCAAGTTCTTCAAGCATTAAAAAACCCAGATCTTACATTATAGCTTCAAGTTCTTCAAGCATTAAAAAACCCTACTACCGTCCCTACGCTTCTCTGATCAAGGCAAGCTTATGCCGGAAGCCCGGGATGAGCTCGTTTGATTTCTATCAATACCAAATGAAGACCCTTGGATAAACACCAAAGCGATATTTACAAGTAGCAAGTCAAAACCTACTAAAGACATCATGAAAGAGGCTCCA